ATTTTTTTAAATCATATATTTTTACCCATGTTGTTACTATTTCCAGTGCTCTTCATTCCTTTGTGTAGATCCTGATTTCCATCTGATATCATTTTCTTTCTGCCTAAGGATGTCCTTTAACATTTCTTGTGGTGCAGATCTGTGGGTAATTAATTCTTATAAATTTTCTGTGTATGAAAAAGTATTTTAGGCTGGGTATTGTGGTGCATGCCTGTAATCCCTGTTAACTGAGAGGTTGAGGCAGGAGAATTGCAAATTTTAGGTCAGCCTGGGCAACGCAGGGAGACCCTGTCTCAGAATAAAATGAAGGAAGGGTTGGGAGTGTAGAGCACTTGTCTGGCACGGGCAAGGCCCTGGATTCAATCCCCAGTACTAGGAAAAAAGTCTTTGTTTCACCTTTTTGAAAAGTATTTTAATGGGTATAGAATTGTAGGCTGACAGTTTATTTGTACTGGAAATTGAACCCAGAATCACTTTACCAATGAGCTACATCCCCAGGCCTTTTAATTTATTACTTAGTTTTTATTTTGAGACAGAGTCTCAATAAGCTGCCAAGACTGGCCATAAACTTGGGATCCTCTTGCCTCAGTCTCTAGTGTAGCTGAAATTATAGGCATGTGCCATTGTACCTAATAATTTAATAGGCTGAACGTTAGTTTGTTTTTCACTACTTTAAAGACCTTGTCTTGCTGGGCATGGTGGCACATGCCGGTGATCCCAGCAGCTTGGAAGTCTAAGGCAGGAGGATCACAAATTCAAGGCCAGCCTCAGCAGCTTAGCAAGACCCTGTCTCAAATAAAATATAAAAAGGGGCTCAGGAGTGGTTAGGGCTGTGGCTCAGCAGTAGAGTGATCACCTAGCATGGGCAAGGCCCTGGGTTTGATCCTCAGCACCAATAAAATATATAAATTAATTAATTAAAGGTATTTTATCCAACTACAACTAAAAAATAAATATTAATAAAAAAGGGCTGGGGATGTATCTCAGTGGTTAAGTGGCCCTGGGTTCAATCCCTGATGCCAAACAAACAAAAAACCTTGTCTTCTTTTGTTCTTTTTGGTACTAGGTGTTGAACTCACAGGTGATTTAACATTGAGTCACATCCCCAGCCCTTTTTATTTTTTATTTGAGACAGGGTCTCACTAAGTTGCTTAGGGCCTTGCTAAGTTGCTGAGACTGGCCTTGAACTTGTGATCCTCCTGCCTTAGTCTCCAGAGTCGCTGGAATTATAGGTGTGCTTGCACTTGGCTTTCTTGTCTTCTTGCTTGTATTACCTTCAGCAAGAAATTTGATGTCCTAATTTTGTTCCTGTTTTAGTCAGCTTTTCCACTGCTGTGACTAAAAGACCTGACAAGAACAATTAGAGGAGGAAAAGTTTTTTTGGGGGGGACCCACGGTTTCAGAGATCTCAGTCCATAGAAGGATAGCTCCATTCCTTAGGGCTTGTGGTGAAGCAGAGCATCATGATAAGGAGGAAAGCTGCTGGGAACATGGCTCCAGGAAGCAGAGAGAGAAAGCTCTCCTTTTCACAGACAAAATATCAACCCCAAAGGCACATCCCCAATGACCCACCTCCTCCAGCTATACCCTACCTTTCTACAGTTCCCTCCTGTTATTCCCCATCAGGGGATTGATGCACTGATTAAGTTAAGACTATCATAACCCAATCATTTCACCTCTAAATTTTATTGCATTATCTCACACATGAGCTCTTGGGGGACACCTAATCTGAACCATAATAGTTCCTGTGTAGAGGTCCCTTCCCACTTCTGTCTGCTTTTTAGATTTTTCTCTTTAGCACTGGTTTTGATCAATTTGATTATGATGTACCTTGGTGTGTTGTAGGGACAGATGAGGCAAGGCACTGAAGATGGCAGGAAGCAGTTTTATTTGGCTGCAGCCAGGTTCAGAGGGCACAGCTTTTGCTGTAATTAATCCCTTGAACCCTGAGTTCAGACAGTTTCAGAACTTGATACCTAGCAGGTAAGGGGAGGGGCTCAGAAGTTCACAGTCTGCAGAAGTTCACATAAAAGCAGCTTTTTCTTTCACTGTTTTGGGAAAGTTAACCCTTCAAGGACAACACCTGAGAAGGGGAGAGCTTCTTCTCCCCTTTCTTTCCTTCCCCTGCCAGTTTTTACTATGGAGCCCAATTGGTAACTTCTCTTATTGTAGAAATGTAGACATCTCTGTGAAGCCCCAGCTCAAGGCCAGAGGCCTTGTTTACACATTTTTACAAACTACTGGATACATGTTTGTGGAAAACTAGTAAGGGGGTGCTGATTTCTTCCTAGCCAGTGGCCAAGTAAAATAGGGCAACATGAAAATTGGAAGTTTATCTACATTAAACTCTTTTGTAGAGACTCTTCTGCTGACAGTCCTAAATGCAGCCATGGTGAAGATTTCTGGAGAGACCCAGTTAAGACTTTTCTGTGGAGAAAGGGGGTGCCACTACAGGTGTAGTTTCCTATGCTTAGGGTTCTTGTATTATTGGATTTTTAGGCTTCTAGAGTTCTTCAAATTTGAAAAACTTGGACAGGATTTTGACTGTCTTCTCTCTTTGGACCCAAATTACTCATATATTATGTTGCTTGACACTGTTTGTTCCTCAGCTCACTGATGCTATTTCTTCCTTCTCTCCAGTGCTGGGGATTGAACCCAGTGCCTCATGCATGCTAGGCAAATGGTCTACCACTGAGCTACATCCCTGGCCCATTTTTTTGTTGTTTGGGTCCTTTTCTCTATGTTTTATTTTTTAGTATTTTCTAATTGCTGTGCTTCAATTTGACAAATATATTTTCCTTCTGCAATGTCTAATGTGCTGTTAATTCCTTAAGTGTATTTTCAACCAGGCCATGTAACTGTTTGATTTGGGTACTTTTTATATCCTCAATGTCTCTATTTAAGTGTTTGAACATATGTCAGACTCTGAGCTGCTTTTACTCACAAACACTACAGATGCCAATGTGTGGGGATTTTTCTACACCAACAATGGTTCTCCAACTCTCCAGACAGCAACTGGGTGTCCAACAATTCAATTCAATTGACACTACTCAGAGTTCGTGTCATACCCCACAAGTTAAGGGCTTGATCCCACAAGACTGGCTCTGCTTGAGATACCAATTGAAAAATCCCAGCCAGTTGTGGCAGTGACATCTGCCTGTAATCCCAGCTACTCAAGAGGCTCAGGAAGGAGGATTGCAAATTCAGGGCCAGCCTCAGCAATTTAGTGAGACCCCATCACAAAATAAAAAATTAAAAGGACTTGGGATGAGGCTCAGTGGTAAAGCACCCCTTGGTCCGCTCCTAAATACCCCCTCCTAAAAAAAGGAAAAAAAATCCCAGGCCTCCAGGACTTCTGACCCCCTCCTTAGGTTTGATAATTTGTTAGAATGGTTCACAGAACTCAGGAAACACTTCATTTACTATTACTGATTTATTTTAAAGTGGATATGACTCAGCAAGAAATAAATGGGAGAGATTATAGGGTGAGATGTGGGGGAGGGAACACCCTCCCAGAATCTTTATGTGCTCACCAACACAGAGTCTTTATGAGGTTTCATCACATAGGCATGATTGATGAAGTCACCAGCCATTGGTGATTAACTCAATCTCCAGTTCCTTTCCCTTCCCAAGAGGCCCCGGTCTTCTAATCACTTGGTGGTTTTCTCTGGCAACCAGCCTCTACTCTGAAGTTACTGAGGTGCCCACCAAGGGCCACCTCGTTAGTATAAACTCAGGTATGGTTGAAGGGCTTGTTATGAATAACAAGCTGCGTCTTGTAAGGGTCCGGCGAAACGTCGGAGTAAGAGACCACAAGAGACTGTCTTATGCAACAACAGAAGGGTGGGTTTATTTGGAGACCAGCATGCTAGGGCTCCAAATAAACCCACCCTTCTGTTGTTGCATAGGGCTCCAAATAAACCCACCCTTCTGTTGTTGCATAAGACAGTCTCTTGTGGTCTCTTACTCCGACGTTTCGCCGGACCCTTACAGTCTCACCTCATGACTCTGGAAATTACAGGATTTTTAGCGGTGTGCTAGGAATCAGGAACAGAGACTACATATGTTTCTTATTATATTGTAATATCTCACATATGATTATAATAGTAACTGTGTTAGTATCCCTCTCTGATAATTCTAATATCTAATATCTGTCAGTTCTGAGTCACTGTGGGGTTGTTTTTGTTGTTATTGTTGTTTGTTTGTTTTGGTATCGGTGATTTAACTCAGGATGCTCTACCACTGAGTTATATCCCCAGTCCTTTTATTAAATCTTATTTTGAGACAGGGTCTCCATTAGTTGCCCAGAGTGGTCTCAAACTTGGAATTTTCCTGCCTCAGCTTCCTGAGTCATCAGGATTATAGGTGTATGCCACCTTGCCTGGTTCTGAGTCAGTTTGCTTTTGTTTAAAGACAAAAAAATCTTCAAATTTATTGCCTTTCTTTACCTAACCCACCAAAAGAAATTTTTCTCAGTACTGCTATTCCTTTCCACAAAACAAAAGCAAATAATTCAGACATTCTTTGTCATTCAAAAAGCAAAGAAAATCTTTTCTATTGCCAACACTCTTCATCTGATTTTTAAAAAACCATCTTAAACCACTTCTCCATTATCAAGTTGAGCCTGTTCTTTTTCTTCTTAAGTTAATGTTTTATTTTATATTTTTATTGATGAATTATAATTATGCATAATAGTGGGATTCACTATGCATTATATTTGTACTTCCACATAACATAATTTGATCAATCTCATTCTCCAGTACCTTCTCTGTCCCTGCCCTCCTTCCTCTCCTCAATCATCTTGCTCTATTCTATTGATATCCCTTCTTTTATTGTTATCTTAATTAGTGAGCTATATATATAAAATTAATTGTGGTATATTCATACATGCACATAGCATAATTTAGTAGATTTTATTCCCCAGTACTTCCCCTTGATCCTCTCCCTCTGCTCTACTGGTCTTCCTTCTATTTTCATGAGATTCCCCCTCCCTTTTTATTACAAACATGGAACACACAAATAAGAATTTGTGTCATCCTTGCTCAGGGACCAAGCTAATCTTCTCTGTATCATTCCAGTGTTAGTATATGTGTTGCCAAATTGAGCACTGAATGGGTTTTTTTTTTGGTTTGTTTGTTTGTTTTT